CTTCAGGCAGGGAACTGCCTTCCAGGGTGTCCAGCCTTCAGTTCTCAAGTTGAGAGAGCTTGTATATGTTTATTTTTCATGGTATGCAGACACAACCTTTTTTTATCTACAAAGACCGTGTTTGAGCACTGCACAATCAAATTATAGAAGAAAATATCACACACACATACAACGTGCACACACACACACACACACACACACACTTCATAATGTTTTTACTAAGTTTACAATTTAGTGTCAGGTCACATTCATGCTACCCTAAGTTGTTGGTTAGATATCCATTGTGTGACCCAAGACAATTCTTCATCCAGCTGGAGATGTAGCTCAGTGACAGAATACTCACCCAGTGTGCATGAAGTCCTGTGCATTTCAGTACCATAAAAATGTTTTAAAGAAGCAAGCCATGATTCTGAACATTTTAAAAGCTTTAAGCAACTGCTAAGCTCATAAAATGTTTCAAGAAGCTCTTTTAAAAAATAGTTTTATTGGCTGGGACTGGTGGTGCATGCCTTTAATCCGAGCACTCGGGAGGCAGAGGCAGGCAGATCTCTGTGAGTTCAAGGCCAGTCTGGTCTATGTAGTGAGTTCCAGGCCAGCTGGGGCTACAGGGAGACCCTGTCTCAAAAAGACCAAAAAATTTTTTTTATTATTTTTGGGGCTGGAGAGATGGCTCAGCGGTTAAGAACACTGGTTGTTCTTGCAGAAGACCCAGGTTTGAATCCCAGCACCCACATGGCAGCTAACAACTGTCCATAACTCCAGTCCCAGGGGATCTGACAGCCTCTTCTGACCTCCGCAGGCATTGCACGATATGGGTGCAGTTACCTACATGCAGGCAATATACCCATACACATAAAATAAAAATGATAAAATTTAAAAAAGAGTTTTATTATTTTTATTTTATGTGTATGGGTGTATTGCCCGCATGTAGGTAAGTGCATCATGTAGTACCTGTGGAGGTCAGAAGAAGGCATCAGATCCCTTGGAACCAGAATTACTGATGGTTGTTAGCCACCATATGGGTGCTGGGAATCGAACCCAGATCCTTGGCAAGAGCAGCCAGTGCTCTTAACTGCTGAGCCATCTCTCCAGCTCCTCAAGAAGCTTTTATGACCTGATTCTGGTTTCATCATCTGGGAAGAAGTGCTGCAAACTTTCTTTGGTTACACTGGCTTGGCCCTGAGGAACAGAAACTGCAGATGTACTGAGTTCTACAGTGGACAGTGAGAACAATAAGTAGTCCTCTTTGTTAAACTAAGGATGGTGTAGACAGAGAGTTCTTATAAAAGGTATTGGGATCCAGGAGTGGTGACTCGCTTCTGTAATCTCAGCACTTGGGAAGCTTGAGGCAGGAGGATTGTTGTGAATTTGAGGCCAATCTCGGCTGCATAGTGAATTCCTAGTCAGCCTGAGCTGGAGAGTGAGACCTTGTCTCAAAAAGATAATTCAAGCTGGGTGTGGTGGGAGCATACCTTTAATCCCAGCCAGTGCTCGGGAGGCAGAGGCAGGTGGATCTGTGTGAAATTGAGACCAGCTTGGTCTGCATAGCATGTTCCAGGTCAGCTGTGGCTACAGAGAGACCCTGTCTCAACCCCCTTCCCCCCAAAAAAAACTTAAAAAAGATAATTCAGTAATTGTTTACATACCAGCTGGCTTTGCAGAAAAGTGTAATGAAGATCCTGCTGAATCTTACACTCAAAGGAAACGGGCTCCAGTGCAGAAGCAGTGGTGTTCATATGCTGTAGAACAGCACTTTCTAAACTTTTCCACACATGATCCTTTTTGTCCAAGAAGTTTCTACATGACCCAAAGTATACAGGTATTTACTGGTGATAAATCAAAAATAATTTTATTTATTTATTGTGGGGAACATGGGGTTGTAAATATGTGTGGTGCATGTACGTCTGTGTGAGTGAGTGTACCCATGCACACAGCTGTGGGGGCCAGAAAAGGTCATTGGGTGTCCTTTTCTATTGCTCTCTACCTTATTACCTTGGGACAAGGGCTCTCACTGAACTGGAAACTGGTCATTTCAGCTTGGCTAGTGGCCAGGAAGCTCCAGCGATCCACCTATCTCCTTCCCCGACCCCAATGCTGGAGTTAAGAGGCACACACAGTAGCCACGCCCAGATTTGTATGTGCGTACTGGGGATTCAAACTCAGATCTTCGTGTTTGCATAGCCAGCCCTCTTATCCACTGAGCCACCTCCTCAGCCTCAAGAATTTTCTTTTAAAAGAATTCTTTTGTAGACAAATGATTTTACCATTTATTAAAGAGAAAAATTTGCATACCGAGTTGGTTGTGCTTTTTTTGTTTTAAATTTATTTTTATTTTATGTATGTTTTGCCTGTATGTATGTATGTATACCACATGTGTGCAATGCCTGTGGAAGCCAGAGGAGGGCATCAGATCCCCTGTAGGACAGAAGAGGGTGTCATATGGTTGTTTGCCACCATGTGGGTGCTGGGAACTCAACCTGGGTCCTCTGCAAGGGTAGCCAGTGCTTTTAACTGCTGAGCCATCTCTCCAATCCCACTTCCTTTGCTTTTAAACGGAGTTAAACCTTGGCTGACTATTTGATGCTGCAAGATACAGAGCATCTTCAACACTTTTCAGAGTTGATTGATTTTTTGGTTTTATAATCACCAATGCTGAGAACGTCGCTTCACATGAATATGAAGCACAGACTGGCAGAAGTATTTTTAGAGCCATTTCAGAAATTATTGTATATTCTGTCCTGATTCTAAGCCAAAACTCACTGAAAACTTTAAAATGAAAATCAAGTCAGCAACTCAAAACAGTCATTTTAAAAATGAGACATTCCAAAACAATACAATCTAAAGGTACACTACTTTTGAAGAATGATGAAAAAATTGTAAAGTCTTTGTTTTCCATAATTAAACCATTGTTTCTTTAAGAGCAGAAAACTTTGTGTGTACTATAAAGACACTGTAATTCACAGCATACAGCTGTCTTGAATCAGCTAAGGTATTTCAGTCGGCATTTGTTGGTGTTGTGTGGGGTGATGGTGTTGTGTGGTGTGACGGTGTGGAAAGTACTGTTTATTCAGAACCAAGACTACAGTATGGTTGTGCAATAGGCAAACTGCCAGAGACACCTTGGCTTCACCATGTGTTTGAGCTTGAATTAATTTTTTGTCATTGTGTGTTCAAAGTCCTTTACTGTTGCCAAAGTTTTTGTGACTGCCACATTCGGGTCACATGAATCTGTATGGGAAAGTGACCCACAATTTTAAAAACTGTCATTTAGACAGTAGTACCTTATCCTCCTTTCTTCAGTCACAGAGAAGCCCAAGGGGCCCCAGAGCTTGAACCCAGCTCTCTACAAACCAAGTTAGCCCTATAGGCACTTCCCTCATCTGAAAGTGAGTGGAATGGGTAACTGGTTAGAGGATTGGAACCAGGTAACTAGAGTTTTAATTCACCTGCTTCATGAATGGGTTCTGAAATGCCTCTGGGTCTAGAGACATCTTTCCATTACATGTATTTGCAATGTGGCTTTACTCACAGATAGATGCCCCCTTTTCCGTCTCCCTGTCCTTGCCTGTGTTTCACCTTGATGACTGTCTATGTTCCTGGGTGCTTATCTATGGAAGCTCCACCATTGGAGGGTCTCAGACATAAGGGCTTCTGGTCACAAAGTAATAAAATGTGGGATAGTAAATAATAAGCTTTAATGCCACTCCCTCGCCAGAAAAAAAAAAGCAGACAACCACAAAAACAGGAAGTGAAGTGCATTCATCAGTAGGAGACCTTTCTCCGGTCCACCTTATGTAAAACTTAGGTCTTGTCCTGCTTGTAAGGACTGAGGAGGCCTCCTTGGAACCAGTACGGTTGGTGGTAAGGAGCGCCAAAGGGAGTTGAATTTATCCATCATTAATCTCTCTCTCTCTCTCTTTCATCAACCTTTCTCCGGTCCACCTTATGTAAAACTTAGGTCTTGTCCTGCTTCTAAGGACTGAGGAGGCCTCCTTGGAACCAGTACGGTTGGTGGTAAGGAGCGTCAAAGGGAGTTGAATTTATCCATCATTAATCTCTCTCTCTCTCTCTTTCATCTCTCTGTCCCTCTCTGTCTCTCTGTTGTCTCTCTCTCTCTCTCTCTCTCTCTCTCTCTCTCTCTCTCCACACAAACCTGGGATCAAGTCCAGGGCTTCACCTGTTAACACACACTTCACCACTGAGCTACATCCCTAGCCCACATGGTACATTATTTTAAGGATGTGAACAACTTACATCTCTGTGTTTACCTTTTCATTTCCTGAAAGGATACTCATGATTCTCTCTCCCTTTTAGAGGTTCTTTGAGTTTGGATGTGGAATCTCTGTCCATGATGTTACTTCCGTTCAGAGCGCTAACATAGGCATGTTCTCTGTACTGTATGCATGTGAGTTAGCTGCTGTTGGGCAGCTGGTCGAGCCCAGGTCATTTTCTGTGTCTTGGTGGCCCACTTGGACCCACATCTTTACATCCCCATGGAAGCACATGATTCCATATTCCAGACTTCAGGTCCTCCCAGGGACCTTTCCAGGTCAACTTAATCTGTTGGTTCTCGGTACTCTCCTGGTAAACATGCACTGAGGATAATCTTTACCTCGGATTTTTCTGGAGCTCATCCTTCATGCCATTGCTACTGTTAACATGGTAATGGATCTTTTTGCTGACAAGTTTGCTTCACTTTTGTATTTATTCAGAAACATTAAGTGCTTGATGTACGTGGGTACAAGCATATGTTGATATGGGTGGATCACATGAACATGTCACATGTGGGGTATAATATATCAGAGTAGGAGACTAAGCTGCCTAATCAAATCACTCACCCTTCTGGAAAATCTGGAAAGTGGGTGTTTAGCCTCTTGTAAGGCTAGTATTTTAGGATATTCCCTCTTCCTTCCCTCCTTCCATTGGTTCTCTCTCTTAGGGCTGTAATGTAGCACTGTCCAAATCTATTGTCTGAGGCCTTCTTTCTGTTTGCTTTGCAGAAATATGAAAATAAAAACTGGAGAATGGTTCTTTGAGGAACGAGCCAAGAAATTTCCAACTGAAGGTAAATGCTCTTAAAACCTTAACTAAAGTAAAATGGTAATTCCTAGTTTTGAAGCATTTGATGTTAGGTCTTTTCAGTTAAAAAAAAAAGAAAGAAAGAAAGAAAGAAAACAAGCCAGGCGTGGTGGCACATGCCTTTAATCCCAGCACTTAGGAGGCAGAGGCGGGGGGGTCTCTGTGAGTTCGAGGCCAGCCGTGTCTACATAGTGAGTTCCTGGACAGCTGGGGCTACAGAGAGACCCTGTCTCAAAAAGACAAAAAAACAAAACAAAACAAAAAACAAAAAACAAACAACCCCCCCCCAAAAAACTATGGGTTTAGAACTGTCAAAAGAGAAAGTCACACTATATTTAATTACAGATCTGGTTGGTTTTTATTTTTGCTTTATGAATTGGAGTCACCTGTGTTATACAAATTGAATAAGAGCACCCCCTGAGCAGTGATGGGGCAATAGACTAGTAACCAGTAGGCCGGCTCAGTGGTTGACACTAGGTAACTTCAGCCTACTGTTTTTGGTGAGGGCTAAAGCCCATTGTAAAGGGTTATTTTTTTATTATAAAAGGACCATAGGACTTCCTCATACAGCTCAGATAGACTAGAATCTTCTGTTTTCAGGCAAAGGTAGTCTTTTTTTTTTTTTTAATCTATCTGCTTCCTTAAAGGCTGTTTGATTATGTGCCTTGAATCATGAGTCATTTGGTTTGGTCTGGTCTGCTGGTGCCTAATGCAGGAACTCGTCCAGAGCAATGGCCTCCTAAGACTTCCGTTTGGCAGTATACAAGCTCTAACATCTGGCCTCTTCCATTTGTTTGTACTCCTCGTACCTCAGCTGAGTTGGCTGGTTACCTCTGCTTTTGCTTCTCCTCTGCCCTTCTTTTGCCTCTGTGATGGGCCCCCTTTTAAGGCTCTGCTCCATGAGTTTTCCAGCTTCCTTCTTCGGGAATGATGGTTCCTTTTGAACACAACATCTTTCAGTCTGTACATGTTTTCTCTGGTTATTATAAAACACTTTTGTTAGAGAATTATCTGTACACCTCCATTTCGCTCTACAAGCAGAGACTTCTTTTAAAATCTAGCTCATCCAATACTTTGTTCATAATCCTTAATTAAAAATAATTGGCTTAGGGTTGGGGGTATGGCTCAGTGGATAAAGTGCTTGCCTTGCAAGCATATGGACCTGAGTTGCAGCCCCAAAACCCTTGAAAAAAAAGTCTAGGTATGGTTGCAAGAGATTGTAATCTCAATGCTGGGAAGGCTCACAGGGTGATCCTTAAGGCTTTTTGGCCAGCCAGCCTAGCCTACGAGACAAACTCCAGGCCAATGGGAGACAGTGCCTCAGAACACAAGATGGACAGCACCTGAGGAACACCAGCTAGTCTGGCATATGCTGTGGTGAACAACATGAGAGAGACCTGTCTCAAACAAGGTAGAGGGGAAGGTGAGGACTGGAAGGGGCACTTGGCTTCTGACTTGCATAAGCACTTGGCAACATGCATATGTCCCCTTCCGCACATATATGCTCATATATCATATACATGCACAAAAGATAGACAGTAAAGAGAAATAGATAAACAAATAAACAAGTAGCTGGGGCTATAGATTAGCAGTAGAGTGCTTACCTAGGAGTGAAGCCCAAATATAGGGGAAAAAAGACATCTTCCAAAATGTACTGATGACTCTATATGTCCATCAAATACAAGCTCTATACTTTATTTTCAAGTCAGTGACTACCTTGCTTTGGTTTTCATGTTAGGAATCACTGTGGGGACCATCTTGTATGGAGATCTTGGCTCTTCTGTTTAATTCCCTTGCATAGATTCTTCAAGGATATCTGGTTGGATGTACGAAAAATTGAAAGGATTCTGGTATGTTTTGCCAACTCACCTTCTAGGATGGGCATTTCATGTACTGTCCTTGAAGGGTGTGCCAGCTGCCTTCTCTCCATTCTCTGGCCCTCTCTGAAGCATATGAAATTATATTTGTGAGCAAAAGTACTACGTATTCATTTAAAAATTGGAAAGTAGGAGGTGTGGATCCTTAAAGCTCTTGCCTACCATTTGTGAGGCACTGGGTTCAATCCTCAGCATGAAAAAAAGAAAAAAAGCCTTGTTAAAAACAGAGCAACTTAACTAAGAGAATAATTGCTAATATTCTATTACATGCACAAAAGGATAGAAATGATATGTATGTTTCTATCCTTGTGCATATGTGCACATTTTAAAAAGTATTTAGGGGCCAGAGAGATGGCTCAGAAGCTGCAGGTGCTTGCTGACAAGCCTGACAACCTGAGTTGGTTCCCTGTGGCCCACATAGTAGAAAGAGAGAAAAAATGGGCTCCCACAAGCTGTCCTCTGACCTTCACAGGCACACGTCTTTCTCCCACAAAATAAAAAAAAATGAAAACATGGCTGGGCATGGTGGCACACACCTTTACTCCCAGCACTTGGGAGGCAGAGGCAGGTGGATCTCTGTGAGTTCAAAGCCAGCCTGGTCTACTTAGTAAGTTCCAGGACAGCTGGGGCCACAGGAAGACCCTGTCTCAAAAAGGCCAAAAACGAATTTCATGTCGGAGAAATGTGTATTCAAGTTACTGAAAAAAAGAAAAAGAAAATGTAATAAAACAAATCTTTAACGATTTAGGTTGAACCATAAGAGTCTGATGTTTTTAAGCAAAAATAAAATGCATAGAGGCAATTTCATGTGAGTCAGGACAATGTTTATGTTATTGGGACCAACTTACCTACAGTTTTATCCTGATATTCCTTTCTCTCTCTCTCTCTCTCTTCCTTTCTCTCTCTCTCTCTCCCTCCCTCCCTCCTTTCCTTCCTTCTTTCTTTTTTTTGAGGTAGGGTCTCTCTGTAGCCCCAGCTGGCCAGGAACTCACTATGTAGATAAGGCTGGCCTCGAACTCACAGAAATCCCCCTGCCTCTGCTCCTGAGTGCTGGGATTAAAGGCATGCGCCACGGTGCCCAGCTTATCCTGATATTTCTTTATGCAGTGATTTATAAAGAATATTTTCCAGGACACAGTAGGCCTTAAGACAAATGACAGAATGTATGAATTCTGGTGGGGGGCAGTATGGGGGGGATACCAGTGGGGAAAGGGGTATAAAGATGATTAAGATCTATTGAGATGTTCTGTATGAAATACTAAAAAAATTCAACAAAAAAGAATATTTTCCAGGGCTAGAGAGATGGCTCAGTGGTTAAGAACACTAGCTGTTCTTGCAGAAGACTGGGGTTTGGTTCCCACCACCCACATGGTGGCTAACAACTGTCTATAACTCCAGTTCCAGGGGAATCTGACATTGTCTTCTGTGGCCTCAGCAGGCATTGCACACACAGGTGTGCTTATATACATGCAAGAAAAACACTCATACACGTAAAATAAAATAAAAAATTAAAAAAATTTAAGGAATATTTTTCAAATATTTAACATCAAGGATTGTATGATGTTTCTGATGACCACATCTCATCTAGTCTCTGAATACCCCATTATTTACTTAACCAAATCATGATTGTGGATAGTTTGGAAATTTCCAATATTTGTATTATATTTGGGGGAGTTTAAAATATAAAAATAACAAATAACAATGCATCAGGTATCTTTATAGATAATTTTTTGGCACATTTCCGAATATTTGTACAGAGGACAGCAAGATCAGGAAAGATTGTCTCCCAAGTGGGTGTATATCAACACCAGTGAGTTGTCCTTAAAACAACTAACAAACTGGGAACTGGAGAGATGGCTCAGGGGTTAAGAGCACTGACAGCTCTTGAAGAGAACCCGGGTTCGATTCCCAGCACCCACATGGTGGCTATGAACCATCCTTAACTCCAGTTCCAGGGGAATCCGAAGCCCTCTGCCGACCTCCATGGCATTGCAAGACACGGGTTCCAAAATGTTCGTGTGTATCTCAATGAGAACTTGTAAAATTACTATCAAGGGTGAATATTTCCCTCTTTCCTGGCCTTCCATAGATGCTCATTGAGAGACAACCTTTCAGTCTTAGTAGCTGCACACATAGTTTCCCAGCGTGTAATCTATTTAAATCATTCATAGTTTTTCACATGCAGAGTCATGTCTTCTCCTATATAATGTCTTTCTATGCTTTTACGTCTAGAGACATCTTCCTTATCCCATGATCAGTTAGGCATCCACGTTTGTTTTCTTCTTTTATTTACCTCTTCACAATTCATCAGGAAGCCTGATCTGGTTTTTCTCCTAGTCCTTTGTGTTTCTAGTACTACCTGTACCACTGGGTTTCTCACCGGGCTGGTGTGCCCGGCTTCTGGGAACTGTTTGCCTGTCCCCTAGTGGTGCATTCTGCAGGCTCTGTCCCACAGAATTCTTCATATACTGTCTTCCGCCTGCACTCCCAGCCATTCTGCCCTGCCCATAATTTGCATTGTTCAAGGCTAAGAGCTCTGAATAAATGAGAAAGAAAATGAATGGACTGAGCAAAGATATTATTTGGTAATAAAGGCAAAGTTATATACCCATGAGTGCCCATTCTCAGGCTTAGGTTCGGGTATTTGTTCTTTTTGGCATTGGAAACGTAGATCTAGTTTTAATGTTCAGTTGAAGTAATTCTTGGTATCATTATGCCCTCATCATCCAATTTCCTTTTTATATGCTTTACTTATTTCCTTTCATGGTCCCATTAGATATGTCGTTTAAGATAAATGTTCCCAAAATTTCCCTGAAAGGAGAAAAGGGTGAAGTAATAACACTGATAAAGAATAATAGAAATTAATTGTGGTAATATTTATTGTGCTGATTTTCCAACCTTTAATAAAAAGACTTAAGAGGGCCAGGGAGATGGCTCAGTGGGTAAGAGTCCTTGCTGCTCAATTATGAGCACCTGAGTTCAAATCTCCAAACTCAACATAGAAAGCTAGGTGTGGCTGTGTGCATGCCTATAACTCCAGCACTGTGAGAGGCAAAGACGGGAGGATCACTGGGGCCTACTGGCCACCAGCCTAGCTCCAAGTTTAGTG